GTGCGGTCCTAACCCTAACCCTAAACCCTAAACCCTAAACCCTAAACCCTAAACCCTAAACCCTAAGTCCGCTCTGCGTGTATTGGCATGATCTCCGATACAGCAGGTTGCGAACATTTTCATCATACTGAAGAACCATACTTAGAAAGCTATTTGAAGTATACAAACCTCTCGCTTGCAGCTTCCTTGGCGCCCTGGCGGCTTCCCCTACACCTGGCAGGGAGCCATGCTGCCCCTAAACCCTAAACCCTAAACCCTAAACCCTAAACCCTAAACCCTAAACCCTAAACCCTAAACCCTAACCCTAAACCCTAAACCCTAAACCCTAAACCCTAAACCCTAAACCCTAAACCCTAAATGATGGTTGATACATTAAACAGAAGTAGAGATGTTGATTGTACAGTAATCGCTTCATTCAGTACAAGTAGAGTGATGCAGTACAGTGATGACGTTTGGTGCAATGGCCCTGCCATGGAAGTTTGTGGTTTGAAATATTGTGAAACAATAAAATTGACAAAAAACTAAAGGAAAAGTATTGAACCTACTTCGAATCCTACTTAGATCCCATTCTACTTATATTTTTTCCTCCTTGTTTGCTCCGGTTTGCCTTTCCCTGCGGTGCATCATGCAGCAAGAACACGTTGCGTCGAACAAGCGCAAGAGACGGCGAGAGACGGGGGAGGAGCGAGCAAAGGTTGAGGTTGAGGAGGAGGCCCCACAAGCAAGTGGTCAACGGGAGGCCCACCAAGACCATTTTGTAGAGTTGGATCAGCTACTTTGCGAGAAGCAGAAGCAGCTTCCCAAGAGGAACAAGGATCCGCATCGCAAGGAGGAGGGGGAGGAGGGGGACGAAGATCTTCGCAAGGAGAAGGAGAAGCTGCGCAAGAAGGAGGAGGAGCTTCGCAAGAAGGAGGAGCAGCTTCACAAGGAGAAGGAGGAGCAGCTTCGCGAGAAGGCGGAGGAGCTTCGCAAGAAGGAGGAGCAGCTGCGCAAGAAGGAGGAGGAGCTTCGCAAAGAGGAGGAGCTGCGCAAGGAGAAGGAGGAGCAGCTTCGCAAAAAGGAGGAGGAGCTTCGCAAGAAGGAGGAGGAGCAGCTTCGCAAAAAGGAGGAGCAGCTTCGCAAGAAGGAGAAGCTTCGCAAGAAGAGGGAGCAGCTTCGCAAGGAGAAGGAGGAGGAGCTTCGCAAGAAGGAGGAGGCCCAGCTCCGCAAGGAGAACCTGGTTTTGAGGCAGATTCCGTCATCTGTAGAGCGAGGGATGGCTTGGGAGGAGTCAGAGGCGGGGCTTGATCGCATGGGCTTTTGCGAGCAGAGAAAGTGCTTCCGCCTCGATGGCTCGTACTTATCGATGGATGCAAGCCATGTCAGCAACCAGGAGCTTTTTCTCTACTGCCGAGAAGCCTTCACGAAGCAGCAGAGCTTCCTGAGAGAGCGAGTGCTGGAGCAAGGCGCTCTGGGCTGGATCCAAGGGCCGCCAGGAACAGGGAAGACGACTACAACGCTAGCGTTCTGCCTGTCGCTGGACATGAAAGAGTGGATGGTGACTTTTCTCAGGCTGAAGCCTATACACATCTACTGCATGCAAGTGGTGGACGGGAGGAGAAGATTTTGCAAGATCTTGTATAGCTCTGCAGCAGAGGGGTTAAGGGAGGCTTTTGCAGGGCGCGAGGGCAAGAAGCATGTGGTAGTGCTAGATGGTTTCCTGAGACAGCAAGAAACTCATCAAGGCGTGTATCGGGAGTGTCTGGTATGGCGTGATGCAGACCAGCAACATCGACGGCTGGCTGTGGTAACATCGATGTCATCTCGGGGGAAGGCGTACATAGAGTGGGATCAAGAAATGAAGCTTGAGACGCATAAGGTTGTTTCCTGGACGCTCGATGAGTACCTGCAGGCGGTGCAGCACGACGAGCTGTATGAGCAAGTGAAGCCCTTCTTAGAGATGGATGTGGAGGTAGAATGGATGCTAATCACGACATGGGATGGGCAAGAGACGAGAGAGGAGCGGGTCGTAAGGAAGTACTATCTCGCCGGGGGCTCATGTCGGTTCATGTTCCAGACAACCGTGGCCAATGTGAAAGAGGCATTGGACGACGCCATTGAGAGTGGTGCGAACCTGGAGACCGTCCTCCAGGGCAACGTAGGAGAGTTTTCGCCGCAAGCCATCAACCGGTTGATAGCATACGTCGAGTTTGGAAGTAAGAGAAGCTGGTTGCCAGTGAGCAAGTATGTTGCAAGTACGCTTGCGGCGCGTACTGCAGAATCGACTTTGAGGCAGTTGGCTCTCAGTTATGGCATTGGAAATCCGGGCGTGAAGGGAAGTCTTTTCGAGATGCTTTTCTTCAAGAAGATGGAACAAACAGGGTTGAGTGTGACTTACCGTGGCCCGAGGCAGACCGAGAGCTGGGATCGATGTCTTGTGGTGAATTTCTCATCATTGCAAGGCATCAAGACGCTTCCTGCGCAAAATACGTGCTTGAGGCCCATTAGCGCGTTTCAGGGAGGCTATGACGCAGTGATGGTCGACCAAGAGAAGCGCAAGGTGATGTTTGTACAAGCAACGATCGCACAGAAACACTCTTTCAAACTCTCGTTCTTCCTGAAGGCTCTGAAAGCGCTTAACATCCCGGAAGGTGGGAGGTGGAAGGTGGAGGTTGTTTTCCTGATTCCGGTTGAGGAGCTTGCAAGGTTTGAGATCAAACCCATCGAAGACAGCGGGGCGCTAAAGGATTACGGATGGAAGAGAGGAGAGGAGGAAATGCAAGCAGAAGTAGCAGGGATTTCTATCTTGTAGTCAGGGAGATCCTTAGAGAGGAGAGGTCACATGCAGAAGAACATCGTTTCTTGAGGCAAGCATGGAGGTAGCCAAACCCTTTCACAGTTATGCGGCTGATGTTTGTGAAGAGTAAAGTCTCGGACATGTGAAGAACAGGCTTTCACTGGTCATGTTGTTCCAATTGAGACGCAGCAGTTCTTCATCATCCGTCTCCTTCCATGCCGAGGCTGAGAGCCAAGTGCCTACTTGTCATTGAAGCTGGTGCCCAGATGACTTGATTCGTGCTCGCGCCGGCGCAAGGCACACTCAAACATCTACTCGAGCGTCTGTCCGTTGAGGGTACTCCATGGAAGGCTGCAGCAGGACTCGATGGAAAGGTCGCCCCTTTCCGCTCTTCTTTCCTTGCATCATCATTGACACGACGGTGAAGGTTGTACACTGCAACTTCAACAAGTTCAAGCAGCTATACTCCTATGTGACCCCGGGAAAGAATTGACAAAGTCCGAGGGTTGTTGAAATGCTGGATGTAAATATACACCACGGTTCCATTTTCTCATCAGCACAAACGCATGAGATGATCGTGACCGCTTTTAGAGGTGATGCTTGGAAAAGTCTCACACTTCCTCACACCCAACTCGATGTTTAGACACCTGTCTAAACTGAGAATGCACTGTGTCGCGTGACCCTTCAAAAACTGATCTCTGATCTGAGTCTCCTCTACCCAGGAGCATCTGTGTCCTTCCTACACAATTGATCATTCTTCCTTCCTCTTTGATCCTTCATCATCTACTCCTCAAAAATTTTGTTGTCTTGCTGTCCCTTTCCTCGACTCTTGTCAATACTGATCAATCTGAAAACTGAAATTTTTCTCTTGACCTGTAAGGATTTTTGCAGTCTTGCATACGAAGGAAATCCATCTTGGAACAATTTAAGCATATTACTCTGTTTTTAGGTTGGGTTGCAAATATTCTGAGAATTGAAGATGAAGCCTCTTGAGGAAAACAAATTCTGCATCCTGCAACTCTGTTCAAAAGGATGATAGAAAAAACATTAAGTTGAGATGTTACCTGACGGAATAATATACACAGAACTTGAAGTTAAACATGTTGCCCCACTGCTTAAAAACTGCTCCAAATTCAGTGAGTAAGGTAACGTAGTTCAGTGAATATTAAGTCCCTACAGAGGAGTGTTCACAATTCGGGAAGGACCTGAACCTAAGTAACCTTCCCAGCCACCGTCACATCTGGAGGAATGGCTGGTTGCTGAGAAGAGTGTCATGCAATATAGCCTAACATAACTTCATGCACATCACCTCAGGTCAAAGAATACCGATATGTCATTTTAATTTCGCTCCTCTTCTGTTTCCGTGCAGATTGGGGGGGGGGGGGGGGGGGGGGGGGGGGGGGGGGTTTTCCTTCCACTTGTGTCGCCCTGGCGATGCATGACTTTTTTTGCATTTGCGCTATTTTGAGATCCCGGCCGGAAAAAAGGGTCTTTCTTGCCTTTCTCCCCTTTTTATGGGATCTCGGCGCTAATAACAAATACCTGTTTAATTATTAGTCAAATGGAAGAGAATTTCAGATTTCTTTTTAGAGAGAGAGTACTAAAAAAAGTGTATAGAAAGAATTTGTTTTTTTAGCGCCGAGACCTTCGGTTACAAATTTTGTAGGTGCAAAGGCTCGCAGCCTTGCAGGATATGCATGAAGTAGAGAAGAGAACAAGAGAAGAGAAGAGTAGGTCAGTATATCATTCTAATGGTGAGCTCAGGTGCCTCCTTTTGAATAGTGATTCTCCCGATCAGATCCTCAAGAATGTCTGATCAAGGTTCTACCGTCGTTTCTTGATTGAGATATAACAAATCCTTCAGGGACCGTTGGAGTGTCAAAGAAAGAAAAAGTGAAGCAATATCTGGAAGCATCGATTCTTCCCTTTCTTTCCCAGGCACTCACAAAACTTTGTGCTGAAGTAACTTCAACCATCTTGTTCCACTTGATGTGATGAGAGACACAGGAGCCGTCCGACCCTTTCGAGTGGCTGGGCCGCTACCTGATCGAAAACAATCCGCGCGCCACTCGAAAGTTCGATCACAAAGAAGCATTGGTGAAGCTGTGCTTGAAGAATCAACTCTTGACTCTTTCTAGGTCTTGAAATTGGCTCAAGGAGATTTCTTCGGCGAGATAGCGTTGCTGCATGGAAAACCGAGACAAGCTACTGTGAAGGTCAGACAGTTGCAAACGAACACCCAAGAGTACTTTCATCTCGTCGTTGATACTGCTCATAGTCTGTTGGATCATCTACTCTTTTGGTTCTTTCTCGCGATGCTTTCAACCGCCTTTGCGGAAGTCTCTTCGACATTCTGCAAAGAAATATTGTGATACTCATTCAATAGAGTGGATGCTGTTCTGAATGACGCACAGGGAGAGTACAAGGATGTGGAGTTTATGGAAGAGGAGCCGGAGGAGCATCTGGACGTGAGAGACTCTTGGCTCCCTGTGGCCTCCAACCTCCCACACAGGACTACGGCGGAGTCTCGGAGGAAGAAGATTATGAGGAGCCCCCGCCGCCTCCCGTCAACATGCGGAGGTTTCAAGCGAATGCATGGCGATGCCTTGTTGGTTGAAATGCTTTGAAGGGGAAGAAGAGATACCGTCTACTTGGCCGCGACTAAGGCAGGCTTCTTACCTTGCTGACCTCATGCCTCACACTCAGCCAGGTTGAGGATGATTGGAGACCTCCGGAATTTCCCAAGACGGACGAGGAACGTGATAGAATACACAAAGTGAGATCAATTTGCAAGGATGGACAAGGCTCTTCTGTCTCAACTGAGCTGGTTTTTAGTACATTGAAAAAACGGCTTTGCTGTCCTACCTCGATCCATCCTCCAAAGACTTGGTCAATCTTTCTTTCTCCTCTCACTTGCATGACATCAGTTTGTGCAGGTTGTCACAGCGGTGGAAAAGCTAGAATTCGATGACGGGCAAGACATCATTAGTCAAGGAGATGAAGGTATGTCAAGGCTCTGCTTTGGCTGCCGGCTGACTCAATCTCTTGCCAGCTGATTATTATTACATCTTGGACTCCGGCAAGGCAGATGTATGTTCTCTCGCTGACGTTTGCTCCTGCTCGCTCATTCATGTCAAGGTTTTGATCGCAAAGCCGTTGGGCTCCGACCCTGTCAAGGTCAACGAGTATGGGCCAGGTGCTGCCTTTGTGGTCGCCTGGTGCCATGCTGGTGATGTGCTAGCAGGAGGTTCCTTCGGCGAGCTTGCGCTGCTCCATGGCGATAAGCGAATCGCCACCATCCGCGCCACTGAGGTCCTTAAAACTGCCCCAGGCTTAGCCTCTGATTGCTCGCGTGATCAGCACTGTGTGACGTGGGCCTTGCAACGTGACACCTTCAGAAAACTGATGATGCAGAGGTTTGAGGAGCAGCGATTGAGAGCGTTGTTGGTATCTGATTCGGACCTGCAGTGGAAAGCAAGCCTTGAACGAGAGGGTTCAGTTCCTCTCCAAGGTTTTCTTCTTCACCGCGAGCGAAGCCTGGTGATCTTATTGCAGGTGAACATCTTGAAGGAACTGGACCACTATGAGAAGTTCAAGATAGCAGAAGCCATGCAGGTAGACGTCAACAAACACGTTGTACAAAGTGATGTAAACGATGCAGATGAGAAAGGTGGAGGATGACGAGGTCATTGTGAAGGTGCTGTGAGTTTAGCTCGTACCTCGTTTGTCTCACGGAGGTTGACATCAGGAGGGAGAACCAGGCAGCGAGTTCTTCATCATTCAGAGTGGAGAATGCCACGTTTACAAGCAGGTGCTAGTTGATGTCACTCAATGCTTGCTCAAGTAGACAATATCTCGAGCTAGAGGCTGATCCAGCAAAACTTTAAACAAAATATTATGGTATCTCGCGCAAGAGGCTGATCCAGCAAACATGGATGAATTACACACTGATGTGTCAGTGTTGAACCATAAAGCATCGTTTACAACTCTCGTGTCTCTCCTTTCCTGCGACGTCTTGAGTGCGGCATTGAAAGCGCGGCTGAAAGACCGAGGAAGCGCAAAAATTTTCCCATTCCTTGAGAGTCTTGATACCCTCGTAGAAGACGACCTCAGTCTCATGCTTTAACGGCGTCCTTGTCTCGTACTTACATGCTTCGTATGATATTCCAACTCCCTTTGCAATTGGTTGCAGCACAATCTTACATACACGAACTTGCTTGTATTGTTATACGTTCATCTTTGTACTATCATACTTGTTCTATCATTCTTGTCGATCGTACCTGTACTATCATATTTATACAATCGTGCGATCATACTCATGCGATCATACTCGTGCGATCATACTCGTGCGATCATACCCGTGCGATCATACTCGTGCGATCATACTCGTGCGATCATACTTGTCGATTGTACTTGTCGATCATACTTGTACTATCATACTTGTCGATCATACTTGTACTATCATACTTGTCGATCATACTCGTGCGATAATACTCGACGATTCGATCATACTCGTGCGATCATACTCGTACGATCTGTCTGCAATCTCAAGATCGGATTCACGATTTTTTTATTTGGAACCCTAGCTTCCCTTGATGCAGCCGCAAGGGCAGGAGCGAGGGAAGCAAGGAGCGATGAGACAGAGGAGACAGAGAAGAGAGGAGGGGGGGTCAGAGAAGTACGAAGAGATGAATGTAGAGGTAAAGACAGAGATGAGAAACTGAGAAAAGTTGAGGACAGGAATATGGATGAAGACAATTGGTGTCGGAGCTATCGAGAAACGATCTTGCTGTATGTTTGTGATCAATACCTTTGTCTGAATGCTTCACGTTCAGGCAGGTCAGGGCGACATGTCGCAAAAAGAATCTTTCGGCATACATGACGCTGGTGAGATCAGTCCGTGAGCATGCACGCACAAGTAATGACCTCTCTTTGGCAGCCTATCGCGTCGGGAGGAGCGAGCTGCTGGCATGGCTTAACGAGCTCCTTCAGATCAGCTACACAAAGGTCTCCTCCTCTTCCTCCTCCTCTTTCCCCCTCTTCCCCATCTTCTTTCCTCTTTCTTCCACCACCACCACCACCTCCTCCTCCTCCTCCTCTCCTCCTCTTCCTCCTCTTCCTCTTCTTCTTCCTCTTCTTCCTTTTCCTCTTGTTTCTCCTGTCCTCCCGTTCGGTGACCCAGTCCAGGTGGAGCAATGCGCCAACGGAGCAGCATACTGTCAGATCATGGACGCAATCTACCCTGTTAGCAATGCTGATAATTTGGCGAAGAATTGACGGAGCGGGACAGGGGGAGGTTCCGATGAAGCGAGTGATCTTTGATGCAAAGCTCGAACATGATTGTGTCAAGAACTACAAGGCATACAACGAGATGGATGGTCTGTCCAACTCGCTTAATGGTTGCTGTAGGTTCTGCAAGCCATTTTTGAGAAGCGAAACATCTCGAAACATGTCGAGGTGAGGACGTAAAAGATCAATGCTTTCTTGCTGGTGACATCGTCGTTAGGTTGAGAAGTTGATCAAGGCCAAGGTATGGACGTCAAGCTGTTGGTCCGTTTCTGACGCTTTAAAAGCCGTTGGACAATCTCGAAATGTTGCAATGGTTCTGTCACAAGCTTATCTTGTCATAGTTAGTGACGTTGTACAGGTGCAAGCGATTCTTCGACCTCAACTACGCGGTATTCATTGCTGTCTCGCTTTCATCCGGTTGTTTGATTCGATGTAGGGCAACGAGTACAACCCGATTGAGCGACGGCAGGGCAAGGCAAGGTGATTGCCTAAACATTTGAGTCGCTTCGCCTCAATGTCATGATTTCTTTCTCCTGCTGCAGCCCAGCAGGCAAGGTTGCGTCTTCTGCAGCGCCGAAGGTGATGGAGAAAAAAAGTTCTCCTGTAATGAAGGCAAGCCCGTTGAGGTACACCTCCGCGTCTCATCCTCTCGGCTCAACAGAAACCCCCGCTGACCGTCAACACCAAAGATCAGAGCCCCAGCACTGTAAGCAACATCGCCGTCGTGCTGCTTTGACTCCAATGCAGCCCATGAGACAAAAACCGATCAGGCCTGCTAGTGCTGGGCTGCAAAGAAGTCCAGGCAAGACACTGATAGCATCAACATGAACACCAATACCATCTCCATGATCGTCTCTGTCATCTCATCTCAATCATGATCTGAATCTTCTGAATCTTCTGAATTATTTACATGATCGTCGTTGTTTCGATGCTGATTCGATTGAAAGTGCCAGATGCAAGCTCGCGAATGGCGAACATGACAGCTGATTTCTCACACTTGGAGGAGCAACTTCATGCCAGGTAGAAGAGGACGGGAGGATGCCGCTGAAGTGACGAGGAGCGTGAAGTCAGACGACGAACTCCCGACTGAAGGAAGAGGTTCAGAGGCGATGACTGTGATCCTGCTGACGTGCAAGTCCACTAGCTACAAGAGATGCAATTGAGTGTCGACACACTTGAAAAGGTGAAGGCGACAACAAGATGAAGAGATTATGTCATCTGATATGCGATGAAGGAAAGGGATTTTTATTTTCACAAGCTGAGAGAGATAGAAGTTCTTTGCCTTCAGGTCTGTCTCATTTCTTCAAAATATTTTCTGAAGATTGAACCGCAGTGCGAGGAAGGAGCTGAATCTAAAGTATTACATCTCCTCTCTACTCCTTACGTCTGCAACTTCTACCTCTTTCTTTCTTGACCCCCACCTCTCCTCCCTCTCCTTTCCTTCTTCTCGCTTTATTTATCATACGCGTCCTCTGCAGACCTTCTTCCCTCCCCGTTTCACGACACCTTATCTTAATAACTCTTTGCTTTTCTCGTTTTATCATCTGTTATGCTCTTCTTTCTCCTTTTCTCTTCTGTAAGTTCCCTCTCGCTCAAGCAAGGCAGGACACCATTGTATCCAAGACACTCGCCATCCTCTACGCCAAAGAAAACGAGGTCGCTCTGACCTCCTCCGCTCCTCTTACCCCTTCCTCAGACGCCCCCAACGGATTTCTTGGACGAGCCTGCGGATGTGAACGCAGAGGGATTGAGCGAGGACGCCCGACATGCACAGCAGGACGAGGGAGACGAGGGAGCGGGAGAACAGGAGCAGGTAAGGGAGGAGGAGGAGTACCGGCAGGAGGAGGAGCACGAGAAGATGGAGGTAAGTGAGTTAGTTTATGACAAACGTTAAGTTATTCACAGTGACGATCATCGTTATTGTCTGCTCCTTCACATCACGTTCAAATTCTTTTGATTTTCCTTGTCTCGCGAGCTGCAGATTATTTTTTCAAAACAAACGCGTCAGAACCTCCTGACTCTCCTCTCCTCCTGCCCACCTTCTCAAGGAGGGGATACGCGATCTCCCCTGCTTCAGCCCCTTCCCTTCGACACTCTTGCCCGACGACGTCTGGCGCTCAAGGACAGGAGCCTCCTCCTCTACTGCGACTGGGGACTCAACCTGAGGAGCTGGGGGGAGGTCACAAGGCAGGAGGAGGGGAGGAGAAGGGACAGAGTGACGAGGGAGGAGACTAGAGGGCAGGAGGGAGGAAGGGGGAGGGGGAGGGGGAGACCTTCTGGCAAAGCTTCATCTTGCTGAGCTTCTTGTTCGGCCTAGAGAATGTCAAACAGCAGGGGTGATCTGCAAGCTACAGCACCGAAGGGAACTCCTCCTGCTCTTGCGCCTCCTGCTCCTCCACTTCTGCTGCTCGCTCTCATCAGCAACTAACGCATGTGGAAGAAGAGGAGAGTGGGAGGACAAAAAGAGGAGGGCAGGGGGTGTACCATCAGCATCCTCCTTCAGTGAGAAGCCCCGGAGTTCCGCGAGAACTTCGTCATCCGAGCGGAAGGCAGGGAGCGAGGAAGGGATGCGGAGCTCCTTCTTCATCGGAGTTTGCCCGGTAGGCAGGTCCTGCTAGCCGTGAGACGAGCACAGGGCGAGGAGCGTCTGCCATCACCTGCACCAGCTCCAGCTCCTTGCTTCCGATCATCTCCAGCCGAGACTTCGCGCTCAGGTAGAAGCGGCTAAGCTCGTCGCCCTGCATGCCTTCAGCTCAAGCCCAACCGCTCCACAGCAGACACTCACCTGCTGAGCCACGTTGGAGGAAAAGGACTCACCCCAGCTGTTGGACTTCTGGTCGGATGACTGAGGAAGAGGACGTGAGACGAGTCGAGACGAGACGCCGACGGGAAAGGGCTTTTGGGTTTGAGAGGGAACAAGAGGAAAGGAGGAATTAGTTTCACCGCAAGTTGGGAAATGATTCCATCCACAGACGACTTCACATCCTGCATCATCGTCAGCTCGTTGAGGGGAGGAGGAAGAAGCTTCTAAAACGGTCTAGCAGACCTGTACGTCTGTGTTGAGAGCATCCACGACCTGAGCTGCGTGCGCCTCCTTCTCTTGTACCAACTGCAGGACAACCATGAGAGGAGGCACAAACAAGGAGAGGAAAATGAAAGGATGGTTTGAGACCTCGGTAACTTTGGAGGACAACGAGCTTTGATGCGTTTTGCAGATGGACTCGTAGCGCTCCTGCAAGAGACTTGAGCAGCACATGAGGGAGAGGGAGGGCAGGGAGCGGAGATTGGAGGCGAGGGAGTGAGAGGCGGGAGGAGGGCCGTTCGAACCTCTTGCTCGCGCAAGCTCTGCATGCAGGACGAGAGGTCGTTGCTGTGAGAAACAATCTGCCAACGGTGCGTTACCCTTGCTTCTCCTCCGCCTTCTCCTCCGCACTTACCTCCTGCTCGGCTTGCTGGCAGCTCCTGGATGTCAAGTCTCTCATCTGCTCATCTGTCAGCCTGCCCTGCCGCTGCCGCTGCCGCTGCCCACCTGCTTCTGCATAGTGCTGACGGATCCTCCCATCGCCTGAGTCTGCTGGCCGACAGCATCGAGCGAAGAGGTCAAGGAAGTCTGAAACTCTCCGATGCTGAGAGGAACATGAGATCAGAGAAAACCTCATGGAGCAGTGGAGGAAGAGAGGGGGAGGGGAAGAGAAGGCTGCACCTCTTCTCGGACGATTTCAGCCCATCGACAACATTCTGCGAGGCATCAGAACAAGCTGAGAAGAGGAGGGCAAGCAGACACTGACGTTGACATCCCGTGACATCTGCTGGTGGTACTGCTGGAGAGCCTCCGACACGAGGCGGTTGACTGCGAGGAAGTCAAACGTGAGGAGGGAGAAGGAAGGGGAAGACCTTGAGAGGTGATGGTGTCGGCCATGGACTTGAACGAACTCTCCTGATGCTGAACGAGGAGTGAGAACGAAGACAAGAAGCGATGATGATGATGATGAGGAGGAGGAGGCTGACGGACCTGGACGAGGGCAGAAAGCGCGTCTTGCTCCTTCTTGATGGCCTGACAAGGGACGAGGTGAGAGGAGGAGAGGAGGAGGCTCGAGGATAGACCTGCATGTGGTGCTGAGAGGAAGAGTTGATCAAGGTCTTGACGTCCGACATCTTCTGATGGTGCGAAGAAACGAAATCGCTGACAACCTGAGCGGGTGAAGATGAGAAGACATCAGGAGAAGAGAAGGGGAGGGGAGGCTTACATGCTCCTCGGACTCGATTGCAGTTAAAGTCTGTCAAACCTAATAAGGAAGCTTCTCCTTCTCTTCGTTGCGGTCACCTGTTCAGCCCACGCCGAGATCTGAGACTTGGTCTTGCTCAGGTCCTCTCCCTGCTCGCCGTCAAGGCTGTTCATCGCCTCCTTCACGTCTCACCAGCTTCGCGGTCGCCTCGGAGGCGTCAGAGTTCGCCTGGCGAATCAAGGTGGCTTGCTCCTGAGGAAATGCGATGAGCCGAGCAGCAGAAAAGCTAGCGAGAACAGGAGAAGAAAGAGGGAGAAGGAGTCGAGGAGCAGGAGGAGAGCGTAAGGAGGGCCGTGTATGCGTCTCACGTCATTCTGCTCCACAGCAAGCAGGTTGACCGCGTCAACTGAAACCTGAAGAAGCGTCAGGAGAAAAAGGAAGGGAATGGGGTAGTTTTTGGGGGAGTGAGGGTGGGGGAGGTACCTTGAAGGTCTCTACGGTAGTCTCCGTGGTTCTGATCTGCTCCTCAAGGGAGAGGACAGTCCTGAAAGAGTTGAGGTGAATCAAAGGAGGGAGAGAAGGAGCAGGAGGGGAAAGGGAGATGGGGACGGGAGGAAGAGAGATGGGGACGGGAGGGAGATGGGGACGGGAGGAAGGGAGACGGGGACGGGAGGAAGGGAGATGGGGAAGGGAGGAGGAGCAGGAGTAAGGAGAAGGGTGGAGGATTCACGTCTGCTGTAGCGATGATACGTCCTTCTTGATCGCTTCGATCTCCTCGTTCTGTAAGGCGTTAGAGCCTCTTCCCGTCCTCTCTCCTCCTTCACCTTCTCGACCACATACTGCGCGACGATCTTCTGAAGAGCTTTGAACTTCTTTGCCTGCAAATCCTGGAAACTTTCCAGCTCTTTGAAAGCTGATTGAACCTGGAATTGCACAGTCATCATAGAACTGCACTCCCGTCATGATATCCCAGTAATCGATTATCACGACCAACATCTACATCATCGCAGTATAGTATGTAAAGTTTCACTCACATAGTCTCTGATCTCAACGAGATGCGACGTCGCCAGCTCCTTGTTCTGATGCTCCACCTGCCAAGACCGTCAAGAGGGCTGGGAGGAATGAGGAGTAAGCGAGGTGGACAAGGAAAGGACTTTACGTTTGACTTGCGCGAGAGTTTAGCAAACAAGCCTCCAAGGTCGCTGTGCATCTCCCAGGAGGTTCGGAGGAGAGAAGTTCCCTGAGGTGATGGCATGAGTTGGAAGGAAGAGGATTACGAGGAGTGGGAAGAGTCGAGAGGAAGACGTGGAGGAGGAGGCAAAGGGAGGGAAGGTTTGTTGACCTGCTCGTAAAGCTCTTCTCCTGTCTTCTTGTGCGTCTCCAGCACGAATGTCGTGTCATCCAACTTGCCACGAGTTTCCTGGGCTCCACCATCATCCCCTCCCTCCTTGAGCTCCTCGCGCTCACCTTGAGATCGTTCTTGGTCTCACTCAGACTTGTCTTGGTCTCACTCAGCTCGTTCTTGGTGACCTTGAGCTCTTGCTCCTTGTGCTCGAGCTTCCCGCAGGCCTCGTTGAACGACTCCTGCATCTCTTCCAGCTGCTTCGACCTCTCCTCAATCTCCTGCTGCAGCACAAGCTCGTTCTGCGATAGCATGAGCAGGGGGATGGGGTGTAGGGAGGGGGATATGGAGGGGTCATGCCTGCTTGAGTCGCTCAATCTCCGTGTGCATCTCCTCGTACTTCTGGGAGGAGAGGTAAACTCCGTTCGCCTCGCGCTGAGCCTTCAGCTGCAGGATTTGTGAGGAGAGGAAACAAGACGATGCAAGGAAGCATTGCACAGAATCAGAGGAAGAAACAGAAAGGGATGCAGGACAAGGAAAAAAGGAAGGGGGGAAAGAGAGGTAAAGAAGGGCAGGAAACGTCGGAGATGTGGAGGATGGAGGACCTGCTCCTGCAGGTCGGCGATGTTTCGCGCCATGTCTCGCATCATGGTCTTCTTGGTCTGCACTTGGTTGATCTCTGGTGTGTTCTTGATGTTCTTCGCCCTGCAGGCGTAGTCGAGCGTGCCTGCACAGATCGGGGGAGGTCAGGCGAGCAGGGGAGAGACAGGCAGAGGGGAAAGTCACCGAGAGCAGGAGAGGAGGGGGCAGAGAGGAGGAGGAGGAGGAGGAGGAGGAGCGGAGAGTCACCGAGAGTCTCTTCGATGTTGCCAGAGGTCGGGGAGACGGTGGCGATGATGAGGGTCTTGGTCTTCCCTCCGAGAGAGTCTTGAAGCAGGCGGGTCAGCTTGCTCTCCCTGTACGGTACGTGCGGCTGATGCTCCACCAACGCTGTGATGACTCGCCCGAGCGTGAGGAGGGACTGGTTGATCTGCCCGGCCTCCTTCTTCCTGTCTCCCAGTGCTCCGCTCCTTCCGACGCACTCGCTGCCTGCAAGATCGACGAGGTTCAGTTGGCCGGTCTTGATAACCTCCTCCTCATCGAGGGTCTTTTCCTTCATAAAGATCTTGAGAGTGAAGATCTGGTGAGAGCGGGAGGACTGCTTGTTGCACAGCGTCTCTGCGGTATGGCGCTGCTTGTTTGTCCCCTCGAGGATTGAGAAGATGTCAGCAGCGGACTTGACGGCTCTCTCCTCCACTCCTTGTAGCACCACTCCCTTCTTCGGGTCCTCCATCAGCCTCAGCTTGCGCAGTTGGCCCGTGCAGTGATCGTCGGTGGATGCGATCAGGTCGGACAGCTCTTCGTTGTATAGCTCCACCACAGAGATACGAACTTGATACTCGAAGTCGTTCTCCTCAAGGTACTTGAACACATGCGCTACAGCTCGAGGAACAACGCCTGCTCCTGGAGGCATCACGCTGCCACAGTTGTTGACCTCGCCCTCCATGGTGTAAGTCTTGCCTGTTCCGGTCTGACCGTATGCGAAGACCGTGCAGTTGTAGCCTTGAAGCACTTCGTCTACAACTGGCTTCACCACGTGCTCAAACACATCCTTCTGCGACGATGACTGATCGTACACGCCATCGAACATGAACGCTTTCTTCGACGCCTTTCCAAGGGACGCGTAGGAGACTTCTACTGTTTTCTCATTGAGGCATCGCAGAGCCTGCTTCTCCTTTGCCGCCTCCGACGGCGTCATTGGGCGACATCTCAGCACAACTTTGACGTTCTGACCCTTACCTTCTTCTGTGTTCGACATGTTTGATACCTGAAACAGGGTCACGGGAGGAAAAACAGTCAAGCCTAGTAGATATGATTCTATCAAGGTATAATTCTATCAGACTGTGACAAGCTGGTATGGACTTTCATGGGAGCTCTTGATAAAGCAAAAAAATAATGGGATAGCAAGAATGGATGTATGCAAACTACAAGGAATCACAGTCTGAATTTCCACTCAACATGCAAGATCTAAGGGATGAACGAAAGAGATGTCAAGGTGCGTGTAACGCGATGTGGGGACAACATTGACATCAGAAGGAGAAAGAAGAGGAAGTGATGGAGGACGAGGACGAGGACGAGGACGAGGATAAGAAGGTGCTGGAAGCATGATGCCAACGAAGGGATTGAGCATCAGCGGGAACGAAGGCGTGTACCGATTTGAAAATTGAAAAATCAACGGAACCACGATTTTCCAAAAACAGTAATAAAAATACGTTACGTTGTCGTTATAATACCATGATAAACTGAGTGACTCGACTCCCGGCGACTCACACACGGCCCGGTGACATTCCGATCAGTACGGTCATCATCGGCTGATGATCACAAGTGCCGCAGTGCCTCGGAGGTCATAGTACCGTACCGTATACTAGTGTGACTATGATCACGCCGGGTGATATCAGTCCGGTGCGCGGCAGCACTGTGCAGTCACAGAGTGCATTTCAAGAGTCAAATTTCCGAGGCTGACTCGGCGGTCACCGTCGGGCGGCGAGAGCGAGCCCTGGGCCTGACCGGGAGTGCTCCCACACGCCTCAGTTCTCAAAGTCAGCCTGGCAGGTTAGGGTACTTCCAGAGACCAGCCGCCGCGCGCCTCAGTTTTAACTTAACTTTGAGTAAAGAAGTTAACAGGCCGGGCTTTTTCAAGTTTTTTATATGGCCGGGCCGGGAGATTTTGAACCCGGCCGGCGGGCCGGGAGTTTTTTTTGAGTGAACCCGGGCCCGGGGGCCGGCGGGGCCGCATAAATGGCCGCGGCCAGGCTGAACGTAAAAGTGATGATACGACTGAGGCGTATCGTGAAATTCATAAGAACAAAAAAAAATATATAATCTGTACCTAAACAGTGTCATAAAATAGTTTTAAACTTCCAATATCTATTTTAGTATTCCTAAAACCAATTTATGATATTATATATAAATGAAAAAGAGTTTTATGAATTGCCCAGTGGTCTGATTTGCTCCGTCCGATCATGGCTTCATTCTTCCTCTAAGTTAAGTTCCTCTCCTCTCCTCCTTCTCGACCGAGCAAGAAGCTCATTGCTTGAGACCCTCTACACACTCTTCTCCTCTCCTCCTCCTCTCGTCTGCCTAGTGCTTGCTCCCCTCTCAACGGCGAGCCACTCACCTGAATCTCTCCTTGCCTATTTGTTCACTGCCTACATAGTCAAACTCACCGAACATCCCTCAAGCGCAGACCAAAGCCTGAACAGTGCAATTCAAGAGTAACTTACACCGATGCCCATCTTTCGATTGGTTGTGAGTACAGACGAAATGTCTGCTATGGAGCGAAAGGCTCTAGCGGTCGCCGCCTACGTTCTTTTGAACGCTTGCTGGATTCTTTACGTATTCAAAGCATACAGATCGACGGAAAAGTTCCACCTGCAATCGGATTTGCTACCTGCTTATGATGAACGAATCAACGATGTCGAGCAGCAATTTCAACAAGCTCTAAGCACTCTATCGAGGACATGCCAAGGTTCGGAGTGCGCCAGGTCAGAGCTATTGAGGTACAACATCTTTCAGAGGCAAACGGTAGCTGTTCATGTTGGAATGGCAATGCGATTCGTCTCGCTGTTGCAAGAATACGAGAAGAAACATTGTGGCAATAACGAGAAGCTCATAAGCTCCGAGCTCTCCTACTGTAAGTTTGTGATATGGATACAAAGGTGACGGGGTGAACGTCTTTCTCGGAGATGATTTATAGGGACGAAGAGACCCTTGCTGCTTGCCTCGAAAGTGCCAGAGTCTGCTACTCTTCGTTGTGCACTGACGCGGTTTCTGCGTCTCCTCCTTCCATGCCAGCCGTCGACGGGGGCCCATCGCCAGCTAGGCGGACAACCATGTCACTAGTAACATCGGATCGTCAGGAAAGATCGTACCTGCGCTCTGAGGATGATTGGAATCGACCGTAGCTTCCTCCAGGCTTCCTTCCCCCTCATCCTGCCATGAACTTCACTCGGTCGGAGTTCTTCCTCTCTCTCCTACTCACCGCCTGCGAGTCTTGACCCTCGGCGTTCTCAACCGCCTCTTCCACCTCCACGAGCGAAGGTTCAACGAACTTGCCGTTGACAAACTGACCAGGCGTTTGTCCTCCCTACATCATCATGAGCAGCCGAACATGCTGATATGGTCGCGATGGACCGGAATCCGGAGCTTCTCGGGGATGCTCAATCCAGGAGGAAGATACTCTTGGTCGTCGTACACTGACAAGATGCAGCAAGTGAGACGCGGTCCGAATCATTCAAGTCTCCAGCGTCACCTGCATCCTCTGGAAATTCAAACTTTCCTTCGCCATGGATTCTTCCTGCTCTGAACTGCAAACACTTGTCATGCTGTGTAGTTTACTTCCTACCTCACCTGTCCTTCGTAAACAGTCCCGCTGGCGAACCTGTACGTCCCTTCCCCGTGGGGGAGATTGGCTTCGAAGTCGCCCTCGTATACATCACCTTTCACTCGTCACTTCACGTAGGAGCAGGAGAGTGCACGATTACCGTTGGGAAAGAAGAATTTACCTCTTCCTTTCAAGCTCGAGTCCTTCACCTCTCCATCATATCGTATCCCTGCTCTCAGCTGCGTCAGGAATGAAGAGAGGCATGCTCAGATCCAGGACCGTTGGCGTACACGACAACTCCCTGCCCGTCGCGCTTGCCCTCACGGTAAGTCCCTTCGAACCGATGGCCTCTGCGACTTATCGTGAGTGGCCGGCAAGCTCCTTGTCTCTCGATTACCCTGTGACTGAGTAGACGCCATGTCCGTGCATCAAGCCGTTCTTGAATTCTCCTTCGTACCTGCAACATCTTTCATTTGGGGTCCAATCAAAAACCAGCCCCCTGCCTGCTCCCGTCATTGAAGGAGTATACTCCTTTGCCGTTCAGTTCCCCATTCTCAAACTCGCCTGCTCGTTCGCATGAGATCACCAGGTGCTGTCAAATCAGCACCAGCCTGTGTAGGAGCAATGATCGTCGAAATCGCAGCTGCCTTGCCCCCGACGAACTTGTGCTCGATACCTTGACGGAGAGGCATCAGTCATGTAGGTAATGCCACACGTACAGGTATCTGCTCAGTGTCCTACCTGGATAGCTGACGTTCACTGACCTCAACCTCCTTCGGCGCAAGAGGATGTTTCTCCAGTTGCATTTGATAGTAATTTCTATGAACGTTCATCTTGGATTCCAAGTTTTTGGTTTGAAAGCATCAGTGAGCGACTACAGAATACTTCCGCCTCCTCTCCCCTCTCCTCAACTGCTAAAATGTTGTTCTTGACAGCGTTCATTCTCCTACTCTCTATCCTGGGTCGGATCCTCCTTCTATTATGCCTTCTTTGTCTCATAAATCCTCCTGATCTGTACCATTGCTTAACAACTTGATATGATCTTGCTTGGTTTTCTTTCTTCTTCTCACTTGTTCCTACCACTGCTCCTACTCCTACTCCTGCTCCTGCTCCTGCTCCTGCTCCTGCTCCTGCTCCTGCTCCTGCTCCTGCTCCTGCTCAACCCTTGCTTTCTGCTGCTCCTGCTGCTGCTGCAGCTCTTCCTCCTCCTCTGTACCCCTCCTCCTTCCCCCCTACTCATAATCCTCCTCCTCCCTCCCACTCCTCTTGCTTCTGCTTCCTTTTACCACTGCTCTGCATTACTCGTCTCAAGCCGTTGATCACTACCCCCCACCCCCCATTGGCCCTGCATACATCCACCCCCCCCCCGTGCTCGATCCCTTTGAGAGATCCCGAAAATGTTGGAAAGAGTAGCAGCAGAGGGGGCAATGAGGGGAAAGGAGATGAAGAGATGTAGAGAAGAAAGAGATGTAGGAGATGAAGAGATGTAGAGATGAAGAGAGATGAAGAGACAAGCAGAGACAAGCAGAGGCATGAGAGACCAGGAGAGGAAAGATATTTCCAGAAGACATCATGTACAAAGAGGGATTGAGCAATCATTGGTAAGCTGAGCATTAGTCTGTATGGTGAGGCAGACAGCTGATGTTGAATTGAGTCGTTCCTTTGATCGCAATGACGTGTATTCACGTCTCCGTCTCATGCGCTATGAGATGACAAGTCTCTCAGGTAGCGAGCATTTCATCGCGAACGACTAGCATCCTACGAGTGAGAGCGGGAGGACACCATGACGACGAGGTGACGGCAAGAGCGTCCTCTAGCAGCGACAAGGGAGGGATTAGGAGGCGGACAGCGATGGCGGATAGGATACACACTCCTCAGTGGCTGCTTGCTGGAGCAGCGAGGATGCTGTTGATCGTGTACGGCATGTGGCAGGACGAGAGCATGGCGGTCAAGTATACGGACGCAGACTACCAGGTGTTCTCTGACGCTGCCAGGATGATGGCGATGGGAGGTGAGTGGTGGACGGGTGGCGGCTGGCGCGTGATGATGGAAAATGCAAGATTCTCCCTTTGAGCGCGCGACGTACCGCTACTCGCCCTCCATCGCCATGCTGCTGCTGCCCAACGTGTGGGTGGGGAAGTTGTGGGGGAAGCTGCTGTTTGCGAGCACGGACCTGCTGGTGGGATGTCTTCTTGCCAGGTGAGCTCTGAGTGAGCGCTGAGACCGGAGCTGAAGGAGCCAACAAGGATCCTGATGGCGCAGAAGACAGACAAGCAGCAGCTCGCATTCCTGGTCAACCTCTGGATCCTAAACCCGATCGTCGTCAACGTGTCTACTCGAGGCAACGCTGAAGCTCTCGTGAGCCTCGTCGTCATGGCCACGATCTTAGCGGTGGTTCAAGACCGACCGGTGAGGAGGAGAAGAGGCAAGCCAAGAGGAAGCAGAAGGAGAGGAGAGGAGCAGCAGAGGAGAGGAGAGGAAGAGTAGAGGAGAGAAGGATCGCTGAAGTCTCTCACCTGTTGGATGTCTTGCTCACGTTTCTGACGTCTGATGTTCTCAGGTCCTAGCTGGGCTTTTCCTGGGGCTTGCCGTGCACGTCAAAGTCTATCCGATCATCTACTCGCTTCCGCTCTACTTGTCATTCTGCCGGGAGATCAGGCGCGTCTCCTTCTTCTCCGACTTCTTCAACAAGCGCAGGTCCTTTCTGCTCGCCTATTTTCCGTCCTCATCCTCCTGAAGCCTTCAGTTCGCCTTCTCTGCAATCCTCTCCTTCTCGGTCCTCACCGGCGCTTTCTTCGTCATGTACGGCCATCGCTTCCTCCACGAGGTCTTCTTCGCGCTCTCTTCCTCCTCTCAGCTCTGCTGTCGCAGGCGTACATCTACCATGTCTTCCGCGTCGACCACAGGCACAACTTCTCCCTCTACTTCTACCAGATGTATGCCACTTCACCCAGCTCCACTCCAGCTGAAGCCTTGTGGCAGGTACTTGTCCATGGATACCTCTGCTCGGCTCGTCGGTCTCGTCGCCTTCGCCCCTCAGGTCCAGCAGACGCTCAGCGCGGCAGCAGCTCATGTGCGGCAGGTTGTCATCCTGATAGCCATCTCGCTGAGGTACGGAAGGAGGAACAAGATCGGCCTGTAAGTCTCGCCCGTGCGCCTACCCCAGCTCAGCCCCAGCTGTAGTTGCATCTGCTGCCAAACTATCGCCTTCGTCGCCTTCAACAAGGTCTTCACCGTCCAGTACCTTGTCTGGTGCCCTCGCCCTGTCCAGCTGCTTCCCATGACCGCCTGACACAGGTATTTCGCGCTGCTGCCCCTCGCGTTTGCCTCGGGCTTCCGGGTTGGCTACAGGTCAGGATAGGGAAAGAGGGAGGAGGAAAGAGGAGATGAGAAGTTTGCGGGCAGGATGCACCTGGTAACTACTTCTCTGCTGGTGGGTGGGATGGGCATGTGGCTGGGGTTCGCGTACCAGCTGGAGTTTCTTGGGAAGCCGGTGAAACTAGCGAGCTTATAACCAGCAATGTTTGACAAACCTGACAGATGTGGTTGACACTCGTAACGGCAAGCGCTCTCATGTTTGCAGGTGAAGAGAAGTGGAGAGCAGAGCAGAGCAGAGCAGAGCAGAGCAGAGCAGAGCAGAGCAGAGCAGACGGGTACAGCGGAACAAGAAGAGAGGAGGGATTCAGAGGTAGGACGGGGAGGAGAGCTGGGTATGTGAACCAAGAGTGGCAAAGGGTGGAAAGGATAAGAGAAGAGCTCAGACAGGATGGAGTGAGGAGAGGAGTCGAGGAAGATGTGCAGGAAAGGAACAGAGGGGAGGAGTCGGCGGATGATGCAAGCCTACAGGTCACATGAGCTTGTTTTGCTCTCTCATCTTGAACGATGCGAGAGGAGAGGAGGAGGAGGAGAGGAGGAGAACCAAGTGAACGTGGGTACAACTCAAGATCAGCAGCACCTCTTCCTTGCGCCTGTCTTTACTCTCACTCGCCTTCCTCCTCGCCTTGCCGTATGCTACATCCTCTAGGGCATCGGAGGGTTGCCAGCGTCTGCCGAGCCCATGAGCCACCTGTTCCCGAGCGTGTCGGGCCCGGAGTACTCAAGGATTAACGTATCCCCCCCACCGTTGAACCACCACCGGACCTGCAGCTTCTGCTCCCCTGCCGCCAGGTACACCGAGGAGCATTTCTCTCTTGCCGTCCATCCCCCCGTGCTACTGATCTCTAGCTTGTCGTTGACGTACAAGAAGCCGTTGTAGTCGTTGGTCAGGCACAGGTTGTAGTTACCCGCCTGCTTGATCGTGTGCTTCCCGTAGAAGCGGAAAACGGCGTTGGTGCTGCTGTAGCTGGAGAAGAAGTGCTTCAGGTCCTCGTCCTTCTTGAAGTCCAGAGCAGGCGCATGCCCCTCCCCGAGGTAGGTCAGCTTGTCGTTCTTCATGCTGTCTTCGTCGCTGTGGCAATACCAGTCAGCAGCGTCAATTGAAGGGAAGAGAGAAGAATAAGAGATGGGAGGGCAGGGGAGAAGGACGAGAAGAGGGTTAAGAGAGCGACAAGGAAAGAGCGGGAGGGGGGTCACCTGAGCATCGTGGAGCGGCACTGCCACTCCCTGATGAGCCATACAGACTGAGTCGAGTCCTCAGGAGTAACCGGGCTGTCACTGCGAAGCCTCATCTTCAGCATGCCGGTGTCAGGACCGCTGAAGGTGACGAGGATGGAGACAGTGCTGCTGTCTGTTACCAGCACCACCTTCACGTTGTGAGCTCCCGCCCCAAGCCTGACGATGCCACAGCTCTCTTGCTTGCCGGCGTGATCACCCAGGGTCACGGCATCTTTGTCGTCGATGTACAGGTAGACGATGTTGTGGGACTCGAGGCAGAAGTTGTAGTCGCCTTCTCTGACAACCTGGAGGTTGCCGTAAAAGTAGACAGCCATCTTGTCGGAAGGGATTTTGGTGTTTGAGGGCAGTGCGTTCTTGATCTCGGTCTGAGAGTTGAAATCGATGGCCTTCACCACGGCGCTGCCGACCATGTTCATCACCTTCTTGCGCGGCTCGCCGTTGATGTCGACGTTCTGCGTGTACACCTGCATCGTCCACTGCGACATCGTCGGGGGTGCGGGGGCCGCGGGGTTGGAGGAAGGGATCGCGAGCTTTTCATCCCCAGTGTCCACACCGTAATATTGGGCCTTGAACGTCACCGAATAACTGTTGGAGTGGAAGTAGACCACCTTGACCTGATGGCTGCCCTTGGTGAGCTTGACCAGAGAACACTTCTCCTGCTCGTTGTGATCACCGTCGTTGTTGACAACCGTCTTGCCATCGATGTAGAGGTACGAGCCCTGAGCTGATGTGGTGCAAAAACCATACTCGCCCTCATTCTCGATGTTCACTTCCCCAAAGCATTGCAGGAGGAAGTTGTTGTTGGGTAAGCCGGGCATCCTCGATTTCATGGCATCAAAGTTGGCGAAGTTGATGAAGGGGACTACATACTGACCGACGGAAGATAGCATGGAAGGAGATTCCAAATGAACCAATTTGCTGTCAGAGGAGTACGCCCGGACAGTCCACTTGGAGGGCGGGACAGTGATGACCTGGACAGAGTCCATCTTGTTGGACCAGCTGTACTTGCTGAGCTTTGGGATCTCATTAGGACCGTAGAAGTAGATGGAAGAGCCCTTGTAGTCTTCATTAGAGAACATCTTCACGGCCAGTCCTTCGGGGATGCTAAGGGAGTCAACAGTGCCCTTCTTCAGGTTGCATGGCTTAACTTCACACAGGGCCTTGTCGTTGTCGCAAAGGTCTTCGTTCAACTTGGGGTATTCTCCTGCGATCAGCATTGCCTTGTCTCCAGTGAAGTCATTGCCAGAGTAGAACACCGCCATGTTTCCGACTGACGGGCATGCAGGAGGGATCTGACCCTCCTCTCTCATATCCTGAACCGTCGAGGGCGGAGGAATCACAACCTTGACAGGCGCGTGGTCGGGCATAAACTTCTTGCAGAGAAAAGGAAAGTTGTCCGTACACTTTTCGTCTCGAATGTACAAGTTCGAACTGTAATACTTGGTCTGAGCCGCACAGAACTTGTCCGTTGACGCTGAGCTGGAAGGATGTCCTGGCTTCCATCGTTGCAGAGCATAGTTGGGCTTTTCGCCGTCCAGGAACAACCAGGATCCTCTTACTTTTCTCATATTAATCCAAAATGGTTCGTCATCGCCCATGATCGTCTACACGCAGCCATCAGCACAAGAGACATCAACATGATCTGTTCAACGGCGCAACAAACTCACCCTGCCAAGGTCGAGCTCCGACCTGTCCTCATAGCTGAACAACTCTCCTCCCCACAGCTTGCAAGTCTCTTGCGCCTCCTGGAATGACCTCGCCGAGTACTTGTTCGAGTAGCAAGCTTTGCCGTCGGTGGCAAAGGGGAGATATGAACCCGTAGGACACTGGCGGGTAGCAGCCTGCAAACGAGTCATGGAAGAGGCAAGAAAAGTCTTGACCCACCGAGCGAACAGGCTCGCCATCACAACAGACACCCAATTCTCCGCTGTTGCTGCAGGAGTCCTTATTCCACTTGGCATAGCACGTGGTGATCGATTGCTGCACAGCTCTCACACAACCATCCCCACCACAGACTCAAGGATTAACCTCGTCACCGTTACAAGCTACGTTAGTCATCCAGATCTTGTCAACGCTGCCACTTCGACGCTGGTATGACTCCATCTTGTTGAAGCCGAGCTCCTTGCACACCTTTTCTTCGGTTAGTATGGATCGACACAACATGCACACCATACAATGCTCGCAGTCGTTTGAGACATTCCGTCAGCACAGATGCTGCCCCACTGGTCCATGTGCTTCACTTGCACCAGACATGATCCTCCAGTGCACTGCCGCCAGCCATGAGCTTGTGACATCCGCAACATGGGCCGTTCACCTCAGTCAGGCGGAGGTAGCTGGTGGGGACGCCGGATGGGCAGCGATTGCGACCGGGGAGTCCACGAGGTCCCTCGGGGCCTTCAATCCCGTCGGGCCCTCGCTGTCACTCAGTCAGAACATTCCGAGTGATCGATCGAGATGAGTCTACCGGCCCTTCCGGCCCGGGAAATCCCTTGGGCCCCATGCCTCCTTCTGGCCCCACAGGCCCTTCAGGCCCTGCAAGTCTCTCAGTGAGCTCGCCTCGCCCTCGTCCTCCTCAGCTTTCACCTTGCGGTCCGCGAGGCCCCGGCGCTCCTTTGAGGGAGGCACTCAACCTATCGAGAAGTCAGAAACAAACCCAGAGGCAGGCAAGCAGGTGGAGGAGGCAGGGAGGGCAGGTAGCGGAGGCCGGCAGGGTCGCAAGCCTACCGTTGCTGGATAGTTACAGTTCGCTTCAAGTTCTGAAGGTGCCTGACCTGCAAGGTTCGTGTCATTCAAGTCTGTGACCAACAGCGAGAAAAGGCCTCACCGTGCCTTCCAGCCGGGCCACCCGGTTCCGGAGGGCAATCCACTTGGACCAAACCTCCTGCTCTTCCTTGGTATGGCAGCAGCTGCATACCAGATGAGTAGGAGAGAACTCGAGGCCCAGCTCGTTTACCCGATGGGCTTGTCGTCGAAGTAATCCTCACCGTTGAACGCGGGGATCTGGTTGCTCGTCATTCACACACGCGAGCGGATCTCAATGAGGTACCTCTGGGCAATCGCTACCGTCAGAGCCGCAGAGTTTGTCTTGCGCTGGTTCGTCATCGTCCGAATTCCATCCAGGTCCTGCGATCCAACGGTGAGCCTGGAGTCAAGACGCAAGGCTCCTGCCTGTCGGCCATTCGTTGGGATCCTCGTAGACATTGTTGGTGTCAGGATTCCATACGCGCTGGAAAGGAGCTACTTCCGAATGCGGAGCAGTGTACAGGACGCTCTTTTCAGCACTCTAGTTGACCAGAAGATGTCAGGAGGGAGCAACGAGGCGACAGATCAGACCTCGTTGAGGATCAATGCAGCAACCACGATCACAGCGAGCAAAGAACCGACCACGGCACTCTTCTTCGCAGTCATGGTTGTTTCTCTGGCTGTCAGCGACCCGCCCATGATCAACCAAGCGCGTGGCGGCTCCTGGGCTTTGCTGGCCTGCGGAGCCACAACAATCAAACCATGTTCTCTGTGTGCTTGAAGTTGGAGCCATCGAGTGAGAGAAATCGATGGGCACCCTCTTTCGACTGTATCCTTCCATCCCATCGCATTCAGTCATTCAGATCTACAAATGTCTACTTGCTCTCTCTGTCTTTGTCACGATTCTCAACGCTTTCATTCTATCTGAACCATCAGCTGCATAATTTCTTAGTTCATCTCCATAACATCCAAAATCTCCATCGTCTATTTATAACATTCTTAGTGCTCTCCTGACCTTTCTGTAATCTCCTCGCACTCCACTGTTCCCCTAACAAGGTTCACCTTGTTTCTTCACTTCCTCCTCCTCTCTATTTCTTACAAATTCTCGTCCTCCTCCTCGTCCTCCTCCTCCTCCTCCTCCTCCTCCTCCTCCTCCTCCTCCTCCTCCTCCTCCTCCTCCTCCTCCTCCTCCTCCTCCTCCTCCTCCTCCTCCTCCTCCTCCTCCTCCTCCTCCTCCCATCCTCTATCTCTTCATTTTGCGAACGAAGAGCCACCAGTACCCCCACCCCATCGTATCCCCAAGTTTTCCACTACCGGCTTCACCAACACCCTACTTGCTCTTACTACCCTATGTATACCCCTCTAGACCCCACTTTATCATAATAAAGTACCCCACGACTCGACCTATGTACCCCACCCCCATAAGAATGAAGGCAGAACCCCTCCTGTAATATGTAAATTACAGGGTGGGGTACAATGTGATAAAACCGTGAATCGGGTGACATGGCAGCGTTGCAGGAATGAACAGCAGGAGCAGGAGCAGGAGCAGGAGTAAGAGCAGGGGGGAGAGAGGAAGGAGGAGGAGGAGGAGGAGGAGGATCAGTATGAGTGGTACGAGAAGATGATGCAGAAAGGGAACACAACATGAGATGTGTGGAATAAGATGCAACAGAGGTAGTCGCTGGAGCACGGGGATCAAGAGCAGTGAAAGTAGATGAGAAAAGCAGCAACAGGAGCAAACGACTTGAGGAAAACCAGTAGCGGAGCGAGGGATTGAGGCAAAGCGATCAACAAGCAGAGTGAGAAGCAGGAGACGAGAAAGAGGATAACAAGGAGGCTTTGTTGAAGTCTTCAGTCGCAGTGTCAAAAACTTTGCTGATGGATTGTCAATCCTTCAGGCTGGTCGCGTGTACTTATACGGCATCTCACCCCTGTTGCTCGGCTCATTCCTCTCTCCTCCCGGAACGTCTTGCCGTGTCAGTGAGTGAGGAGATTTGCAAGAGAAGGCAGGCATGACCCCCTAGCGCTCGAGGATTGAGGGCGACAAGATGGATATGGCGAGCATGCAGGAAAGGATGTGGGCGTGGGCGCAGCAGTCGGGACTGACCTCGTTGGTCCGTATGGGGATGGTGACACGAGCACGAGCGGAAGAGGAGAGCAGCAGCGCGTGGCAGAGCGAGGGGTTCTCAGCGCGGATCGACATGGTTCAGAAGCACCTCAACCTTCCCATCCGCCCTGTCCTCCTCTGCCGCTCGGACCTGATGGAGGGGCCCAAGGCGGTACTGAGAGACGCCTACAGACAAGAGTCGCTCTTCCAGTGGCTCCGCGGGCACGCGAGGAGCGAGGAGGGAGAGGGAAAGAAGACGCAGGAACTGCTTGAGTGGCTCATAGACTGGAGGGTCAACAACTGCTGGAGGTACAGCCACTGCCTCGCCATTCCCCACCGCTCCTCCTCCTCCTCCTCCTCCTCCTCCTCCTCAGACCCAACGGCTCTCTATCGGGGATGCGCCATCGTGACCTACCCTGGGTCGAAGCAGGACATCGACAAGCTGATCCTCTTGCTCAACACGGGCTGTTCTCCGCCTCCCTCCCTCGGCAGCCAGTGCAAGAAACGTTTCGCTGCACTAGAGCACATGTGGGCAGCGAGGGATCGCCTGGCCGGGTGAGACCTCCTCCTCCTCCTC